CCATTCTAAGAGCCACTGAACTACTGTCATTGAAACACAATCTTCTGGTTCTTGTTCCTGAATTTCAAAGATTAAGAAGAGAACAACAACAACAACAAAAACCCACTACATATTCAGGCAGGATAGAAGCATGGAGGAGAGATGGTGAGGTCAAAGACTAATGGAGCTTCAGATTACTTCACAGCAGAATCCAGAGCCAGGAAGTGGTCCATCTGTGTGTGGAAGGTTAAAGGGTGTCAAGACTATTCCTCTCAGCTGCTCTGTGATTCAAATATAAAGGTATCAGGGATTCTAAACAGGAGCCATTCCACAGGAGCCACAGGAGCCCTGCCTGCAGGGGAAAACAATTGGACAATTAGGCTCAATTAAACAAAATTTAAATGGAAAAACTTAACTTTTGTTAAGTGCAAAGTAATGGAATTCTGATCTACTAATTAAATAAATCCAGCTAATTAGTCATAAGATAAAAGCCATATCTTGGGGGACTGGAAAGATGGCTTAGTGGGTGTTACATTAGCTATGCAAACCGTATGATCTGAGTTGGAGCCCCGCAAACCCAAGCAAAGGTAGAAGGACAAAGTTCTTCTGACTGACAAAGTTCTTGATAAAGTCATCCTCTGACCTTGACATGCACCCTTGACACATCACACACACACACACACACACACAAATAAATAAATAAATATATATAATAAATTAATAAGTAATAATATAAAATGACTTAAAGACAGATCTTATCAAGTATACCATAATGGGGAAAATGGGGGCATGTACTAAAACTGGGGAGGGAGGAAGGAGGTTAAACAGGGAGAGAGAGAGAGGAGAAATAAATAAAGCTTAGGTGGCATAAATGCCAGAGGGAAATATATTAACTCAAACCCCCCCAAAAACGCACATACAATAACTGAACATAAGTTCATTATGCATACCTGAAGTCTATATAACAAGAAACACAGTGCCAGACAGGAGAAACCTCCCTTCCAATTGTTGGCCAGGGTAGTCCAAGAGACTCCCGAAATTACACAGGCTATTGCCACAGCCCTTGAATACCTCACAGAACTTGAAGGTAAGACCCTATTTCTGAAGACAGGACATACTTCAGGTACAAGACTGGGAGCAAGGGAGCCGTAACTGACCTGGAAGCCTCCTCCCTGAAGACCAGGTCTCATAGTTCTAGCAGATACTATGCAAGGTGCTAAGGGAGAAAAATCAATCAACAGTCCAAACCAGCTCTAAAGCCTAATAACCACAACAAACCATATTGGTACTTGGTGCAGTAGT